GGAGGGGGTTAGAGAGCTAAAGATTCTTGGTTATACGTCTTTGATACCCTGGCTAGGAAATTAGACACTCAAGCAAGATGTTCAGTAGTTCAGGCACCCATGTCCTGCTAGTGGAGCTTGTGAATATGGACGTTACTCTTAGTCTCAAATTAGGTGAGAAAAGACTTATTTGTCTCTGTAGATTAAACTTAAAGCATGTTGCAGGGTTATGACCCCCAGAGCAGCAAATATTAGCCTACTAATGCAGAAATGAACTCACAAAATGTACTTCTTTATGAGGGAAACTTGTGGTTAGCACGTGGTTTACCCGTACATTTGAGTTAACCAGTTGAGTACCAAATAAGCAAGAAGGAAAGAGGCATTGTGAGAGAGAAAGAGGAAGAGCGAGAGAGAGAGAGAGCTACCGAGAGAGAGGGAACTAGAGAGAGAGAGAGAGAGAGAGAGAAGAGAGAGAGAGAGAGAGAGAGAGAGAGAGAGAGAGAGAGAGAGAGAGAAAGAGAGAGAGAGAGAGAGAGAGGAGAGAAAGAGAGAGAGAGAGAGAGAGAGAGAGAGAGAGAGAGAGAGAGAGAGAGAGAGAGAGAGAGAGAGAGAAATATATTTCATTGCACTTCGTTTTTCACCGTTCTCAATAAATGTAGAATATACCCTAGAACGTGCTGCAGAGATATTCTATGTGTCACAACGCAGTAAACACCAGGCGCTCGTCAATTTTTGGGCATGTCGAGTTATTATTATCTGAAAGTTTGTTCTTGTATCTTGATTTTAATGAAATAAAAAATTAGCGAGAAAATGGCCGCCAAAGTTTGATAACTTCAATAGCTTGAGAATCCTTGAAAACTGAAAATTTACGTATTTTGTACCCTTAATCAACATTTTGCGACAAAATTCACATGAAAACGTTTTTTTATATGACCAAAAAATAATATTTCTTTTTTTTTCATTGCCAAACTGGAGGAAAAATGCCTGTTTCTTCGATTGCATTGCTCTGACGAGCGCCTGATTTCCCCACGATGCCTCCCATGTAGGAATCAATAAAGCCTTTGTCAACCATGAGTTTCTTTAGGTTTTTACTGCTCGAACTTGCATGGTGACCTGCGGTAGACAAAGAAGTCAAGGTGAATAAGGATTTAGGTGACCCAAAGGTAGGTGTAAACAAAAAGAGAGACAGTAAAGAAAGGCGAAAGACACTATGATTATACTCATGTATAGTGGAATTAATAACACGCTTGGACACCTACACAAATCTGTCCAGGTTTGTTAGTCTACCACAGGACCGGTTATACTTCCTACAGGTGTTTACTACTACTACTACTACTACTACTACTACTACTACTACTACTACTACTACTA